TGGAGATTGCTCTTACTAGAAAAAGCCCTGGAGATTTCATTTTTTGAAGCCTGTGTCTATGTGGCAAAGCAAATTATAATCCTGGAATCTATTAAGACATTATTTCATAACCCGAAAGGGACAACATAACTAAATCATATTATCAACTTCTAATATACACCTTAACCCTTGTATCTTGCACTTAAAAATAATTTCATTCAGTAAAAGCTACATTAGAGTGCTCTACCCAGTAAACTAATAACACACGTATCACTCAGAAAGTACACGAGTTTTTAATGATGTAATAATTATTTCAGAAGCAAAAAATGAAATTCATTGGGTAGATAAAATGAAGCACCAAATATCAAAACCCAATTCCAGAAAAAAAGAACGATACATGAAGATGTGTTTTGAAATAAGTGAATAATCATACTCACATAGTAAAACAGCTGGTAAAGAATGCGACAAAACACCCTGCATAGATCAAATTTTCAACAAATCCACTCAATATCGGCCTAAAAGAAATGTATACACACAATATAAAATAAAGCACTAAATCTCGAAATCGATTGAANTATACACACAATATAAAATAAAGCACTAAATCTCGAAATCGATTGAACAAACGATTAGATCTAATCTCGAAATCGATCTCACCGGTGTCGTAGAAGTGGCGGCGTGAAAGGACCTGCTAATAGAATGACGATAAATTGACCACCGAGGTCTTAAGGGGTTTGGGGATCTGGCCAAGTCAATTAGCACGCGCCGGGTGCGTAGAATACGCCCAGTGTATGATTTCTTTAAACAAAAAATAGAAAATCAATTAACGGATGGATGGATATCTTTTCATTTATTCAAGGGTGCTTTTTCTTTTCATTATTTTTTTAGATTTGTTGACATGAAAGTGCATGGTTATGAATTTCTTACATGTTTTGTTTTTTCGTAATCATATTCACATCACAATTTTTATTTCTTATACTGTACTTTAATTGCACTTGAAATTCTTGATCTTTACTTAGGGTCCGTTTGATTGCAATGGTGGAAAGAAAATGAATTTCAGGGAAAGTAATTGTCTAAAAATTATTTTCCAGGAAATTGTTAATTAAGTGTGTTTGATTGGTATAATTTTCCACCCGAATTTTTTTTGAAATTTTGGATTTTTTTTGTTCACGTTTGACTTTATTTTACATAGAAATTGTCCATTAAAATGTATTTTTTTTTTTTACAATTGGTTATGAAATTTGTTACCATTGCCAAAAAGTTAAAAAAAAAAAAATTTGCTTGAAAACTATTTTTTCATCAAAGTTTAGTATTCGTTTGATTTCGTTTTACATGAAAATTGTCAATTAAAGTAAATTTTTTTTTACAATTGGATATGATATTTATTTCCATTGCCAAAAAAAAATAAAAATGGCCAACAAGTTGGAACCTCATTTCAAGGAGTTTAGGCGCGTGGACCCTTGGCTGGGAAAACTTTTTCCAAGCCTAATTTTGGCTATCAAACATCACAAATGGGTGGAAATGGAATTGTTTTTCCATTTTTCATGAAAAAGGTAAAGTATCAGACATGGCCTTAGTAAAACACTTCTTAAAGATTTTTTATGCCATTCTTATGCTTAAATTTTCCATTAATAGACACGTTTTATATATGATAACAGTTTTATATTCAAATATTCGTTAAAATAGTGTAAAAAACTCATATTCTCTTCATATTTAAAAAAAATAAAAATAGAAAGTGTGAAATTTTATTTTATTTTTCCTCATTTCAAAACATGAAAACAAAATATTTTGATATCATCGTCAATGACGAGATGTACTGATTAATGAAATGTTGAAAATAAGAATTCGACAAAAAAAAGTTAAGAAAATAATTGTTATAATAAGAAAAATTTAAGGAATTTAACTGCATTTAAAATGTGGCGTATCAAATAAAAATTGTGGTATTAATAATCACCCTTTCAACAATATTCTCTAGTTAAATATACAATATTGACCCTATTTGGTTTGGTTAAAAAATTATTTTTAATAGATCTTTAAAAAAAATGATAAAATTTATGATTGAAAATTTTAATAAAAGTTATACGTCTCATAAAATGTGTAATTGAAAATGACTTTGGAGTGGGACCAAACACGAGATAATATTTGACAAGTCTGTATGTCTATGGAGTCGGTGCTACATATTATTATTCAAATTTTATTGTTATTAATTGTACTATATTCTTTTCAAGTCCTTATTTAACAAAGTTTTTTTGAAAATATATATTATTTTAACTTTATTTTTAATCGCACATTCATTTGCCACACAACTTTTATTCACTTTTAATCACACATCTCATGAAATTCGTCAATTTATAATGGATAATTAGCACATAACGTCCCCACCTTTCTTGTTATTGTAGAAAACGTCCGTACCTTTCATTTTTTGACATTTTCACAATTATTTCCACATTTCATTGCTCAAAATGTCATTTTCATATATTTTCTCAATTCAAATTTGTGAAATGACAAATATACAATTCTCTTTAAATAAAAACATAATAATAATAATTGCAACCATACTCCCAATTTTTTTTTAAAAGGTGCAAATGAGTCCCTAATAAATTATTAAAAGCGTAATTATTACATAATGTCCTTATCTTTCATCGTTGTTGCGAAAAAGTCAATACATTTTACTTTTTTTTGGCATTTTTACCCTTAATTACACTTTTGATTGTGCAAATCATTATTTCCATTCATTTTCATCAAATTTCTCGATAAAAAATCGTGAAATAAAGAATATACCTTCGTATTTAAATAAAAAATATTTTTAAATTTCTGATTCTTTAATAATTTATTTATGACTCATTTACACTTTTTTTTTAGTTTTTAAATGAATTTAATTAGGACTCGTTTGCACTTTTTTTTTTTAAATAAAATTTTTAATAATTTATTGGGGACTCATTTGCACTTTTTTTTTTAAAATTAGGATTATGGTTGTAATTAATTATTTATTTTGTTTATTTAAATGATAGGGTATATTCATTATTTTTACAGTTTTTATTGAGAAATTGGATGAAAATGAGTAGAAATGATGATTTGCGCAATTAAATGTGTAATTAAGGATGAAAATATCAAAACATAAAAGATATGGACATTTTTGCAATAATAGCAATAGGTAGGGACATTATGTTTTAATTACCATTTTAAAAATTTATTTTTGACTCATTTACGCTTTTTAAAAAATTGGGACTATAATTGCAATTAATTTTTTCTTTTTTCTTTTGTTTTATTTAAAGAGAATGATATATTTGTCATTTCAAAATTTTTAATTGAGAAAATGACATTTTGCGCAATGAAAGATGGAAATAATGTTAAAAAAAAAAAAAGAAAGATTGACTTTTTCACAATAATAGTGTAAGGTGAGGACATTATGTGCTAATTACCCAATTATAATTTTCAAAGCTTAGTCAAACATGGTCTCGATGAGTTCATGTTTGTTTTAGCTCATAATCAAAATTTAAGCCAAAAAATAAAAAATAAAAAAAATCGATGAAGTTTGCGGTTGAAAATTTAATAACATTTGCAAGCTCCATAAAATTTGTGATTGAATATTAGTTTGAAGAAAAAATGAATTTTAGAAAATGAAAATAAAATATGGGTTAAATCTGACTTGGCAATTAATTTTCATTTTTAATTAAATTAGTTTGTCTTTCTATAATGTGACAAAAAAAGGTACATGTTGTGCTAGATATTGATAACCACAATAATGTTACTTAACAGCTGTTTGGTTTAGAATTTTTTTTTTTTTTTTTTTAAATTTCGATAAAAGTTAATGGAATGTGTATTTGAGAAGTTGTGGATCTCATAAAATGTGTGGTTAAAAATAATTATTGATATTAACTTAAATTTTAATTTAATTTTTAAGTTGAACCAAACAAGGTACTCAGTCATTGTTTGACGAATATTATTTGTTCAAAACAATATTTTGAATATTGATTTTTAGGAAAACATGTGATTAAAAAGTAGGAAAAATTCCAAAATCAATTTTTTTCAAATAATCGAGTTCAAACAATGGTTAACTAAAGCCCCGTTTGGTGCACATTTTGAAGGTAAGAATGCATTTTTACTGTTGATGTGATGGAGAATATGTGGTTGAAAAAGAAGGAAAAATTATTGATATGATGGGAAATATTATTTTATTGAAAAATGTGTGATTGAAAATAAGTAAAATAATGAGAATGAAAAAATAATGTGGACCAAACATGGCCCAAGTTGTATATTTAAAATCGAAACCCAAATAAATAAAAAATAAATAAATCTCTCATATCTAAGTATCTAACATTCAACGCTAAACTTAAGGTTGGATTTCAATTTTATCGCCGACCATATCTATATATATATATATAGATATTAAAATAATCATATAATGCTTACCTCCCCACTCTATTGGAACTTATATACAATATAAAAATAATCTGCGTTTTATTTTAAGTATAGCCAAACGATCCTTAGGTGCTCAAAGGGCAATGCTTATCTCCCACATACTTATTTCGTCACATCTACTCAGTTTTGTTCTGTCTCTGGAGTACGATCAGTTTCCTATGTTCTTCACCGACTGAATAAAGTAAAATATGCGAAGTTCCTCCCTATAAAGGCTAATAGTTTGCTATATTTCGAGGTAGTTTTCTGGTTTTGGCCATGTGCTCTTTACGTTTTCTAGGATTATTAGCAACTTTCTTTTTATTTTTAAGTTATTTTTTTCACTTCTGGCCGTGAGACGGTGAAATCGGCATACAATCAAAATTGTTTGGGCCGAATCTACGTGGATAGAATGTAGTAAATTGCATTTGCTTTATATGGTTTTGTTGCCGTAAGTTGCTTTTTTCCAGTGGCATAAATATGTTTTTCTTGATGGTATTAGGGCTTGGGAAAGATCGCTGTAAAATATTGGTGCTCAATGGAATTAGAACTTGTGAAGATACTTAATTTTTTGGCTTCAGAGTTTCACTTGGTTTGGTTTTGAGGTTGTTTCATGACCAACAATGGACAGAAAGTCATCAGCTAGTACGAATCTGATGCCCGGAAAATCTTGTGGTTTTCTAGACCTACAAGCACCAATACAGGTCAATGAACAACAAAACCGATGTCAAGGTTTTATGGTGTCGTCAAGTGCAAAGGTTCAAGATGTTTTCCCCATTCCAGATAGGAATATGCTAAGATTCGATGCACCAATGCCATTAGTTGATTGTCATGGCAAGCCCGAGGTGATAAATAATTCTTGCGATGAGGACAATTCTTATTCGGTGGGACAACATGCCGATGAGCACAATGAAGGTGTGAGAGAGAAAAAAGAGTTGCCTTGGCAGCGTGTGAAATGGACTGATCAAATGGTGAAGCTCTTGATTACTGCTGTTTCTTATATTGGAGAAGATCCTGCCTCTGATGCTGGTGATGCTGGTGGAAAAAGGCATTCGCCACTTTTACCAAAGAAAGGGAAGTGGAAAGCTATCTCCAAGGTCATGGCCGAGAAAGGCTATCACATATCTCCTCAACAGTGTGAGGATAAGTTCAACGATCTGAACAAAAGGTATAAGAAACTCAACGATATACTTGGGAGAGGCACCTCTTGCAAGGTTGTTGAAAACCCTACACTTTTGGATTCGATGGATCTGTCTGACAAAGCGAAGAATGTTGTTAAGAAGATATTGGGCTCAAAGCAGTTGTTTTACCAAGAAATGTGTTCATATCACAACAGGAATCGGATGTACATTCCTCACGATCAGGCTATTCAAAGATCGTTACAGTTGGCTCTTAGAAGTAGTGACGATCAAGAATCTCATGAGACCAGGGCCTACGTCATGGACAGCATTGACAAGGAGGAAGAAAATGATGCAAGTGATGGTGTAAATGAGGGTACACGAGAAAAACATGCTTTGAGTAAGGATCTTACATTAAGGGTGCCTGCAAAGAGGAAGAAACCAGGGTACGAACACGAAGACATGGACTCTAGTTACATTATGAACTTTCACTCTGCAGTGAAAACATCTGGTCCTCATGATCAACCAAGTGTGAACCCAGTATTTGGTGAGGGAAGTGATGGAGAATCGCTACATGATCAATGGTTCATGTCTCACGCACTTCAGTTAGAAGAGCAGAAATTACAGATTCAAGCGGAAATGCTGGAGTTGGAGAAACAGCGTATAAGCTGGCTGAGGTCTAGTGAGGTTGAAGACAGGGAGTTGGAGAAGATGAGAATGGAAAATGAGTATTTAAAGCTTGAGAATGAGCAATTGGCATTTGCAATCAAATGCCGAGAAATGGGTGCCAATTGAAGTTAGTATGTATTAATATGTTATGTCATTTTCCGGCCTTGTGCATATTGACCAACTTGGTATATGTGTTTTCCATTTTATTTATCCTTTAACCTCCTTCTTCACCTGATAAATATTGCAAATCTCGTTGAATAAAATCTGTGTTGTCCTCGTGTGATTTGAATCTTAAAATTTTACTATTTCCTTTGGCACTCTGCCCTTTTTGGTAGTAAGTCAGGATTTTATACTCCGCAATCAATCAAGTATGTGGTTCAGTACTTTCTTCTCAAATACCCAGCTTATGGATGTCTAACCGTGTGTACATAGTTGCTTCTCTTTTAATGTGAGTTGCTATGCTCTAGAGACTATCTGTATGAAAAAAGAATGTGGAAAAACAATCTATAACATGCTTTATTAAGTGACATTCCAAATCTATTTATTTCTACATATATATAATATACTTGTAACTGATGCCATTTTGCTTCCTTAGCCCAAGATATGTTATGTGATATATTTTTTATTCGCATATTTGGAAAATGTTGCATGCAAGTGCATGGCTTTTACGGTGGATCTTAATTTGTGATCTTTTATTCAATGCCTGTGAAAGGTGATGAATCTGCCAGCTCATTTTTTGGTACTTTAAACTTGGACATATTTAATGACTTTGCTTTCTCTATTGCTTGCCATCAAGTTTAAGAAGGTAATATTATTTCTTACTTGTTGAGCAGTATGAACTAGAGCTGAATATTAATTTTATCTTTAGCTGATGATCCAAGACATTTTACATTTTTGTGAATTGAATAATCAAAACTTTGACTTGTGACAAAAGGTGGTCTATTGACCTTGTTTTACAACTACATGTGGAATGCCAAAGGTTTATAGAGTTGGCCTATGTTTTCTTTGAACTAGTGAGTTACTAAGATTAAGGGCCAACATTTTCTACTTTTAGCTAAAAATTTAGCATTCACCTTTTCTTTTTTAATCAGGGCGATGTTGATGTCAGAAATAATTGTCATGACAAAAAAAGAAAGAAAATTTAACCAGTTCAAAAAGCGACTATTGTCAACTATATGGTATTTCACATTGGCTGCCATATTTTATGCCTTTATTCTTGAGATTTAGTATGTTGAGGTGAGATGTTTTTATTCTATTGATATTTACCTGCCCCCCCAACTCCTGCTCGTCAACTTCTATTTATTCAGATAGTAGAGTTTAAGTTTAGAAATCTGTTGCTCGGAATTAGGTACAACTATCAAACGTGGGTGTGGTAACCTGTCGCGTCCATGTGCAAGGATGGGTGCTTCAAAGATGCTTTACATAAAGTTTACAACTCAAATATTAGGTCGAAAAGTCTTCAAATCCACTATGAATTTAACTTCATTAGTTTTAGATATGAACAGGCTACTTGCAAATCGTGTTGAAGGTTGTTGCTTGAAATTTATGAGCTCTAATCCCAAAGCTAATCAGTTGGTTGTATTGACGATGGCGAGTTGTTGGAGAAGCATGGCACTTAGTTGCTACCTGTCATTCTTTCCCGTTGGCCCAATTCCATGGCGATCTTAACAATGTGGGCTTCTGAAGCTATCCATCTTTTTCCTTTTCCCATATATGGGCAAGTTACTTTCAACGTTCTTGCAATCAAAAGATATGCTTTGGGTTTGAAATCTGGAAATCTTTGTTCTGTTCATTCTTGGTAAGATTTTCTTCTGTGATGATTGATATGATACAATCTTCACTAATTTCTCTGTAGTTCTTTGCAATTCAGGCTCTTTTATCGTAGGCTTACTGGGTAATGGTTCACATCACTGTAAACTTTTCACATATTTCGGTTAGAGGATCATGAAAGGCGAAATGAAAAAGAATTATCAGTAGAATTGTTTATTTGCTTAACCGTGGTCTTCAAAATCCAGATGCATTTGTTTGTTACAATGTGTTTAAAGTGAATGCATGCAAGTGCTTTATTTTGTTCTTAATGTGAACTAATGTGGTTGATTGTTGCTTCTGTGGAGAATTTTATTAAGCTTCAGCTAGCTAGTGTGATTACGAAATGAAAGACCACTTCCCAGTTTTCAGTAATAGAATGCTACACAGATCACATGGTTTGCTAATAATGAACGATTGATGCAAGTTATTCGCCAACTAGCTCCTTGTCTATATTATTTAATGTTTCATCCCCCCCAGCGACTTTCAGGAGCTTTTTTTTGGGGTCGGCAGCATAAAAAACTTTGATCAGCCTGTCCACCATGGTAACAAGGACGATATGTTAAAACATTTTTGCCGGAAATGGACCGTGAAAAAAGGGTCTAGGGGGTCCTAATGATAAAGCCGAGGAAGGTATAGAGTATGGCAGCATATAAAATGGACGGATGAGATAGTGAAGGTTTTGTGTACCGCCTTCTCTTATGTTGGGAAAGAAGTATCTCATGGCTAACAGTGAAAGAAGGAATCAGTTGCTTCCTCCAACAAAAGTTAAATGGAAGGGTAATTCCAAATCTACAGTTGAAAGAGGTTGTATTGTGTCCTCCCAACAATGTGAGGATAAATTCAATGATCTGAATAGAAAGTATATGAGGCTAAATGAATACTTGGAAGAAAAGCTTCATTTGAGGTTGTCGCTAAACCAGCACATATGGAATTGATGAAAATTGCTACTGAAGTCAAAAGAAGAGATTAGGAGGATTAACTTGTAAGCATTTGTTTAATCAAGAAATGTGCTCAAATCACTGTTAAGAACATATGTTCTTACAACAAGGCTCTACATGGGTCTCTGTTATCCATGCTTAAAAATAAACTGACATACGAGTCTCAAGTTGTGATTCAGGAAAAAGATCATGGAGTTGCAGTCAGAGATTTCACAATTTTTTTCTATTGCACCGGCTCAGATCTTTCCCCGAGTGTGTGGAGAGAGATAAGTAACTGGATGCTGATGATATCTTGCTCACTGCCTTTTGAAGAACAGAAGTTGCTAATACAAACACAGATGCTGAAGTACATCCAACAGAAAGACTGGAGTTGAATAAGATGAAGCTTGAGAATGAGCAATTGGCATTTGAACTTAAATGCCTTGAAACGAGTGCTGCTCGCAACTGATATGTGTCAGGTTTCTGTGAGCCAGGTGCATTCTCTGGAACTTTTGAGTTTTCTCATCTTTTCTTTTATTTATTTCCTCTGTTTGAGTGCCTGTTTTATTTGTTATGCCCTAAATGTTGGTTGAATTCTGAGTAAATCAAACAGAGATAATGTCTACATGTAGAATTAAGTCGACTGATTAATGCAAAACTGCACTGTTAAGTGTTTTTTCCCATTTCTTGTTTTACCTCAAGTCCATAGGGTGACAACTGATTGCGGATTTTATCTTGAAGGTAATAACACAAGTCTTCATTTTATGTTCATCTACTAACAGTTTCGTTTTGTACCCAAATTTGTGAATTTATGCTTATTCATTCTTCTGCTATCTATAATTTATGCAAAAAACATGAAACAATTGATCTATTGGTTGCCTTCCACGATTGTAGCAGACAATCCTTCTGTATATGAATAGACTGGCCAAAACCAAATTACAAATTCGTGTTATAACATATCTTGAGTTTTGTTGAATTTGGTACAATTAAAATGCACAGTGAATGCTTTCTTTGAGATGGATTTTGATGTTTTAGTTGTTCTGGATGGACTGCATTATAGTTACTGACCTGTGCAGCTATGCGGCATCTCATTACCATTTTCTTCAGTAATAATCTTCTTTGTTCTTCATTCTACAAAATATGTGCATTTCAATGTTTCAGCCTCGATTGTTTTATCTGAATTCTGACATGGTTTCTTGTTTATTGCCCGTTAATGCTTTATATGCAACTATTTAACTTATTGGGCGTGTTTATGTACAATGAATTGTTTTTGATAATTATAATAAATGATTTTTTTTTTTTTGCCAAACTAATCATAATGATAGAAAAATATGAGAGGATTAGAAGGACCAGAAAAATTAATTAAGAGACCACAATCAAATGTCAACCATATAAACACATTGAAAAACCAATAATAGTTAATGAAGCGACAATTAGGAGTCCCGAAGATATCTGCTAATAGAAGACCATGTTCAAAAGTCATACAGAAAATCATGTTAATAAATTATCACTCCTTTTCTTCCACGATTTCTGGTTTTTTTCTACTCTTCAGTAGTTTCCCTTTTTCTTTTCTGGATCAGTCATTCAGTCGTCTCAGTGTCTGAATCTGGAATCACCTCGACTTTGGCTTCTTCCTTTTCTACTACGGTCAATTGGCTGATCTCCAGTTTGGACTCTTCTTTTGGTGCTTCACTCTGCAAGAGTAGATATTGATTCTAATAATTGAATTCCATGTAAGTCTCTCTCTCTACGTATATGTATTCTAAGATTTGCACATTAAATAATTGTTCAATACCAAATGTTGTTTTGGCTCAAGAAAAAATATAAAAAAATCTTGGACTGCTAATCAAGAAGAAACCTGATCTCTTTTTCTACAACCTTTTGCTCATCTTCATCTTCTTTCTTATTATCACCAACTTCCGGGTTCTTTTCTGCCGGTTCTTCCATCTTGGTCTTTACCTTTTCAGACTTCTCCTCCACCACCCCAATGGCGGTTGTTTCCTCCTTGGGTTGTTCCGGCAGTGGAGTGGCGGTAGCTTCATCCCTCATCCCCGTAGGTACACTAGCACAAGCACCCATATTTCTTGAATCTCAACTAGAATCAACGTTCTCACTCTGATGGAATTCTCTCTTTTTTTTTTTTTTTTGGAGGGAGATTGTTGAAAGCTATGTTAATTGTGAGAATTTTTTGAAATTATAAGTACTTAAAATCTGCTGAAAAGATCCGATATTTTTATCCAAGACAGAAAATAGGAAAATGACTGGTAAACTGCAATTTTTTTTTTCTCAAATTCAAAATTTCTGTATTTAAAACTATTTTTTGGTCAGCGACTCAGCTTATTGAAAATTGAATAAGAAAAGAAAAAAAAAAATCATATTATTAAGGAAAAATAACACTTTTCTTTGATTATCCATTCTTCTAAATTTAGTTATATCGAGAAGATTGATTACCTTTCAAAAAAAGAAAAATATCGAGAAGATTGATCAAAATGTCAAACTACAAATATCTCTGTCCTTTTAAAAATTGATGGTGTTTGTGGAAAAATCTCCCTAATGCAAGTTCACAAGGACTTGGTTAAACTGATGAGGGATGTGGTAGACAAAAAGTAGACATTGTCTAGAAGTTCATCTAGATATAAATGTCTGTCTGGACATATTAACTCAACAAAATTAATATTTATTTTTTATTCATATTTAGAGGTGACTTTATTTTTATTTTGAGAATAAAGTAACATAGATACAATTTATAGATTGCATTAGAGATTGAATGTTTATTCATTAAAAACGTGCTTATATTGCAATTCATGTAATGAACTAGCGAAAAAAATACTGTTAAGCTTCACACCAATTTTAAAAACGTATACATTACTTGATATTATATTAATATAAAAATGTTTTATTTGTACTGAATAATCAAATTTCATGAAATAATATCTAATGAAACGAATTTTCAAATCAAACGCTTTTTCTAATTTTCTGTTTTGAGAAATAATTTTTTAAAATGACAAACCCAATGTTTTTTAGGCAATCTTAAAATATCTTGGAAATATAAAACTAAAAATTAACGCAAATGACTATATATTTTATTGTCACAGTTATGTACTAGTCACAATTATAAACATAATAGTCACAAATGACAAATTTTATGTCAAAATTTATTTTCCGATCACAAATTATCTAGCCATGTAAACAAGTCGAATTGAGCTGGCTCACCAACCAAGACTCACGGTACGTGCACGGCCCGTGCAACAAATGGCTCGTGAGTTGAGCCAAAGCTCGGAAGGAAAATCAAGGTTTGGCTTGGGCCTTACCAGCCTAGTATATTACGTGTTTGATAATAGATAGTATTATTCAATTAGAAATGGGAATTGGGAAATAGAGTTTGGGACTCTGGGTTGGGTAAGGTGACAATCGGTTTTATTGGGCTTAAATAAAATTGGTAGGTATGTAGTTTTTGGGCTAGAACATGAAAACGGGCTACATTTGTTTTTTCTTTCACCTGGGCTGCCACCAAATTTGTTTTTAGGAAATTACAGTCTCACAGGTTTTTAATCTATCATTTTCATAAATTCAAAATCAACTTTAATAATATATAAATCGGGTTTTAATTAATAGTTTTTAAATTAATTTTTATTTAAATCAATCCTACACTTTCAAATCTTAATTATTTCATTTTCACCCCCCTATCTTTCTCTCTTGTCAACCCATTTTATCTCCCCTCTTTCTATGCTCGTCGCCACCGCCACAACGGCACCACCACCTCGTTGGTACCTAAGTTGATCGACAGTTGCGGTACCGTGCAGGACAGGCTCAGAGTCGTCGCTTGTGCTGCACGATTAGCGGCAAAGCGTAACGCCTCTGCGCACGAAGCAGCAATCGCCACTACTTCGTGCGCAGTGTGCTTCCTGCAGTAGTGATGGCGCGCTTCGAATTCTTTTTGTTTTCTCTTCATCTGTTGTGTTGTGTTGTGTTGTGTTGTATTGATGGTTGTGGTGGTGTGATGTGGTAGAGGTGAAGAAGATGGTTGATTTGATGAGGTGGTGGTGGTGATTTGTGGATGCTGGCGGGGGTAATTGTACGGTGGGGATGGTGGCCGTGGTTTGGGCATTTTTTTGTTGGAGTGGTGGTTGCAATTTGTGGATGCTGGTCGGGGTAATTGTGCGGTGGGAATGGTGGCCGTGGGTTTGGGCATTTTTTTGTTGGGGTGGTGGTTGCGGTTGGGTGTGTGCATGTCGTGAAGATGGTCGTGGGTGGGATGAGATGGACGTAGGCGTTTGTGACCAATTATTTGGTTGATTGTGACCAATAATTGGTTAATTTTTGATATATTAATAATGTGTTACCTAAAAATTGTGACTGTGACCCACAATTTATTAAGTTATAATCGAGTTGTGATCAATAAAAGTAACCCGTGACCTATAATTTGATGTTTTATGACCATAAAATAAATTGTGTGACTTAAATGTTGTGATTTGTGATCGATGAATAAATTGTGACTTTTAAATTTTTAATTTGTGACCGATGAACGAACTGTGACCTATAAAATTTTTGAATCGTGACCTTAAATTTTTGAAATCTGTGACCAACTAATTTGAAAATCTGTGATGGTGTGACCTATAAATTTTGATATGTGACTAACTAATTTTGAAATCTGTCTTTGTGACCCACAAATTTATTAATTTGTGACCAATAAAAGTTATTTGTGACCGATAATTCGTTGTGTGTGACTATAAAATAAGATGTGTGACTTAAAATTTTTATGATTTGTGACCGATGAAATAATTGTGACTTTTAAATTTTTAATTTATGACCGATGAATGAACTGTGACCTATAAAATTTTTGAATCGTGACCTTAAAATTTTTGACTTGTGACCAAATTGAATAGATCTGTGGCCTTTATATATTTATTAATAAAATATATTATTAATTAATTAAATCATAAATAAATTTTAATGAAAACTTAATTTTTGAAATTTAAAACCTCTTATCATTAATTTTGAAATGGTAATAGTTAAAAACCTTGTTTATGTATTGTTTCCATTTATTTTTTTGAACTTCTAAATTGGATCTGGGCTAAAGCTGGACCGAACTATATCCTGGTCCGACCCCTGATACGCTCATGTTCCACATGAGGTTTGGCCATTTTCAGAATTTGAAAATGCTAAATGTACAGTCTTTTTATATAGTAAGTTTGACAGCCATCTCACATAAGTGTGGAGTCCCACAACCCCTATGTGAGGGGACTGTCAAAATGTATGTGTAAAAAAGCTGTAAGTATAGCATCTCTAATTGTTTTGCCAGAAGTTGCAAATGTAGGTATTAGAGGGTTCACGTCGACAAATGGATAGTTCAATTGAAGTCATACAAACGAGCGTAGATCGTGATTGTATATGAAAAGGGAGGGACGTAGATGAACTAATATGAATGGTAGATCGTGATTGTATATGATTAATTTATTCTAGAGTTGATATGTATTAGATTAATGAATTGGGTTTAAAAATTTAAATAATCGATGCGTCCAAACAAGTTTGAGAGAATTAACTCGATTTTTGAGAAGTTGTAGCACATTATGTTCTTGATCAAGTTTGTGTCTCAAAAAATAAAAAATTTATTTGTCACTCATATATTTATATAAGCAAAAAATACAAAAATACAAAAGTTCAATAAAATATATGTTCTTCATTTCAAAGCTAACTTAACCGAATATTTATACACAGACCGTCTAATAACTAATAAGAGTATAAGACACATGTATTGTCTGGCTTTACGACATTCCCATGCTCACATTGTCTGAATTATAAGACACATATAGCGTCTAGCATTACGACATTCCCATGCTTACGTTGTCTGAGTTTTTGTAAATTGTCAAACTCGATATAGAAAGGCATGATTTGTAGCTTTCCTTTCGACTCTCCTTGATGAAGAATTAACATAATGTGTTGGTTTTACCATATATTTAACATTATTACACATTTTACGCTCTAACGCAAACAACATAGGACACACGGAATCCCGTGTAAATCAGTAATGACACACTTTATAAGGCTAAATACTTCTCGATGATCCATAATGAAGTAGTACCGTACGGGAAGGGTGATCAAAAGAATGCCCATAAAATTTTAAGCTCCCAAGTAGTAAAAAGTGTCAAGTCTTTGACCGTGTGCCTATTGAAAAATGAGTATCTTATAAGCAATGGCTTTGTTAAGGGAATCCGTCATAGCCGTAATGAAAGTGAGTCTTCATAAAAGAATTAGGTGTGCTACTTGAAGTGATAATTTGGAAAAATAAATAAATAAATAGTATAAACAAAAAATGCTAAATCAATCAAAACATAATTGTTTGCATTTGTCGACATAGACTTGTTAACATGCATGTTCCAGTTTTTATGGTCAACTAAGAGTAACAAGACAACTAGAAGTTTAGAAGCAACTTCTAAGTTTGTTAACGCAAACTTAATGCATGATTCAACATCATGTTGCTTAATAGGTTGACATTGATATAAAACCTTAAAACCAGGAAAAACTACGTAAATTTATTCTGTGTGAATTCGACATGAATTTGCTTGGAGAATAAGGATTGCCTCTAAAATTTACATACAAATAATTCATTTGCGCCCAAGATATGAGAACTGTGGTTTGAAATTAAATTTAATCGTAAGTTTGTAGTTTGATCGATTCAATTTTTATGTTAGATTTGAATTTATTCAAACGATGTAGAACGATCTCTCGTTATAAACATGATTTTTTTCATTAATCAAAATTAATATACAAAAGAATATTAAGAGAAAAACATTAGATATTGAGGAAAAAACATTAGGTGCAAAACTTATCAACTTTAATTTGTTAACTTTAATAATAATAAAAAAAACCAATCATGTTATACAAAATCAATACATAGAATATTAATGTTAATATAAAGAACAATTTTAATCAATCATGTTATACAAAATTAATATATAAAAGTAAACAACTTTAATCAAAATCAATATACAAAATTAATATACAAAAGAATATTATTTTTCAAATAAAATTAATATAAAAATAATATTAAGAGAGATAAACATGATTATTTTCAGTAATCAAAAAAACCAATCATGTTATACGAAATCAATACATAAAAGAATATTAATGTTATATAAAGAACAACTTTAATCAATCATGTTATACAAAATTAATATACAAAAGAATATTAATATTCAAAATTAATATAAAAAATAATATTAAGAGAGATAAACATGATTTTTTTTTTCATTAATCAAAATTAATATACAAAAGAGAATGAAAATATAAATATTAGATGTAGAGGACAGAAAACCTTAGATACAAAATTAAGCAATTTTAATTTGTTAACTTTAATTAAAAAATAATCATGTAATACAAAATTAATTGAGTTTAGTTGGGTTGGATCTAATATGGATGTGTCTTTTTAATTAGAATGTGTTTAGATTTAGTTGGGGTAGTACCATGTTGTCCATCAACTACGCCTTTCGATTTGATCTTAGGCCTTGATTCACCCTCCGTGGACAAACCTTGCAGAGGAATTGTAATTTATTTGTCGGTTTGAAACATTGTGCAAAAAATGAAACATAAACCAAATCATTTTTAAACGGTTTGGTTAGGTTCAAAATCAAAACGTTGACGAATCCACATAGACCCAAATCAACGACTTGAAAAAAATAATTTTAATTCGATCTTACGATTCCATTGTTCAACCCTAGTTACCAGATTTAGTCAGCCAAAATAATGGTGACAACTGGAATAATTATTAAGAAATAATTTTCTTCTATTTCTTGCAAAAAAAAAAAATATTTCAGTAAGGTATATCGTCAGTTAAACAAGTGTTAAGCACCGACTATTAACACTTAAAATTTATACTAAAAATAAATAAAAATGAAAGGCAAGTGAGGTCAAGGAAGAAGACAAACTTCAAACCATTTTGACAAATTAATGAAGTCCAACATGTTATAGAAGCAAATTTAAAGAGCACGATTCAATCATATTACCAGTCTGGAGTCCAAGAATATTAAAATATATTAACAAAACCCTCAAATTTCTCACGTTTCCTAAGAATTCGGATTGTTTCAGGATTCAAGAACGGCTGGAATTGGTGCAGCTCTCTTTCTCTATACTTCTATCTTATATATAATATATGATATATCCGATAAAACAGATATATTACTTCGAGTTCTTTTCCTTATATTTCCCGTTCGGTTCTTCTCCTCTTTCCAAGGAAGAACTCAGAAAGACTGAATTTTTATTTTGCTCTTGGTAGACTTGTTTACTATGGTGGTTGGGAGTTTGATTGAAAATCCTCTCTCTTTCTAGGGTTTTTAAGTTCTTCTTGGTAGATTTAAAATTTACTTTTGTGGGTTGGGAGTTTGATTGAAAATATGAAGATTTGCGACTCGTTACAAGGGTTGAAGCCAACGTTACTGATGTTGGTGGTGCAAATAATATTTGCTGGAGTCAATATTGTTTATAAACTGGCTGCCAACGATGGAATGAAGTTGTCCATTTTGGTGGGCTATAGATTCATGTTTGGCGCTGCTTTTATGGTTCCGGTTGCACTCTTGGTTGAAAGGTTGTAATGCATCATTTTGATTTTCAGATTCAAGAAAGAATATTTATTTAAATGTTAATTGTCTACAAGTTTTTTTTTTTTCGATCATTCACATCTAGGGGTTTATGAACCTCACAAAAAAATTGAAACTTAAAGCTAAAATGCACACACATGAATTTCTTCTGAATCTGAATCTTGAATTTTTCTTGATATTTCAGGAAGAAGAGGCCTAAGTTAACATGGATGGTAGTCTTCCAAGCATTTCTTTGTGGCTTATTCGGGTAAGTTTAATTTTTTTTTCTCTCTTAAATGACTTAATAGATTGGGATAGGTTTTTTTTTAGCGATAAGAGATGAATAATCCATGATTTATGGAGAAGCGTACCAAATAAGGACTCTCTTAAATTAGTTGAGATTTATTGACGTAAATATTTGCCTTTTTTCAACTGCTTTATGTGACGTGTTGTACTCTATATATTTGTCCAGCATTGGTAAAAGCGTTCATTGGCAAAAATATGGTTAGTAAGCATTGCACCTAAGGTTTATGGCCCCTGTTTGTTGTAGATGAAAATCAGATTTTTAGTAGATTTTGATAAAAGTTGATAGAATGTGTGGTTGAAAAGTTGTAGGTCCCATGAAATATGTGGTTAAAGTTAATTATTTGACTTTGACTTGAGATTAAAATCAAATTTTAATTTGTACCAAACATGGACATGATAGTCTAAGACGTTCTTTATGAGCATGATGACTTATATTGAATTGATAGCAGTAATTATTTGAGAATGGTGCATATGGAGGAATTCAATTATTTGACATTGATATTTTATGTTCTTGAGGTAATGCAATGGATAATACAATCCTTGTGGGAAGATCGCTATTAAGAGACCATGATTATGGACTTAATTTCATAATCTAGAACAATAATCAGTACAATTTTCTTATTGCAGAGGATCACTCGGCCAAAATCTTTACTTGAAAGGTATGGCATTGACTTCTGCAACTTTTGCTTCGGCCTTGACCAATCTTATTCCCGCCATTACATTTGTTATAGCCATAATCTTGAGGTAAATATACGTCTGCAAACTGCGCTGTCTCATCAAAATTAAAGAAAATTTTTCTGTTTAGAATTTAAATAAATGTATATTATTCAGGCTTGAGAAATTGGGATTGAATACACTAGCTGGTATGGCAAAGGTGATTGGAACCCTAACCGGAATAGGTGGAGCGATGGTCCTTACATTTTACAAAGGTCTAGATATAAACATTTGGAACACAAACATAAACCTGCTCGAAACAACTTCCAAACATCATGCGATGAGTCCTATACAAAGTTACCACGGTGGGACTGAAATTATATATGGTGCACTTCTATCCTTGGCCAGTTGTGTTTGTTATTCTCTCTGGTTGATTATTCAGGTGAGCTCTAAATAATCTTGATTAACCTGTTTTTTTCGCCCAACGTAATTTTTTCTAGGATATCTTATGATTTTCTTGGTTTTTCTTGGTTGGGGCAGGCTAAGGCAGCCCAGCGGTATCCATGCCCTTACTCTTTTACTGCAATGATGACCTTTTGGGCTTCGATTCAAGGTACTGGATTTGCATTGTGTATAGAGAGAGATTGGAGCCAGTGGAAGTTAGGATTGGACATTAGACTCCTCACAGTAGTTGTTGCGGTATGTCTAATTTTCATGTGATTTTTCGAAGCATGGAACAACAAATTAAGCCTTGTTCTCATTGAATTTGGGATCGGAACATCTAATTGTTGTCCTTTTTATATTTTCTTCAGGGCATATTAGGTTCGGGAGTAATGTTCACATTAATTGCGTGGTGTGTGCGCGTAAGAGGTCCACTCTTTGTATCAGTATTCAACCCCTTGATGCTTCTCCTGGTGGCTATTGCTGGAGCTTTATTTTTGAAAGAGAAACTACACTTGGGAACGTACGTGTTTCTATTTCTTTTTTATTTATTTATTAGTTTTGCGGATTTTGTAAATGTTAAGCAAAGTGGAAAGGAAGAGAGCAAAAACGGGTTAGGGTTTCATATACAACCAAATAAGTTTGTTATACAAAAGTGAATATAGAAAGGTTTAAAATTAATGGTTATGCTACATGTACATAATTTTTTACATAATCTTTTACACCTTACTCACATTATGAGGTGGGGACCACGAGCTGATATTTTTAAAAACACATGGGGTCCGCACCCCATGTGAGGAGGAGGGGCGGGGGCGGTTATCCCTTCTCGGTACAAGGGGAATAACTCTAAAATTAAATTGTCTAATGAACAAAATGTCCAATCTATCCTAACCATATAAGTGAAAACAATCTACCCCTTCGAAGGTGGCCGAGATGGTGGAGCAGGTGAACGCAGAGACCAAAGGTCACGAGTTTGAATCCCCCGCCAACACTTCCTCGGTTGAACCCATCACGCCGGGCTTGCTTAGTGCGGTTTATCTCTCCTGTGTGATTTGCGGGCTACTACACATGGAGCGGGGTTTACCTAGTGCGCACTCACGGTGGTCGGGACTCCGCTGACGGGTAGCTGTTACAGGTTCCTATGTCAACAAAAAAAAATCTATCCTTGTAACAATATAAAATAAGTACAAATGTTATAATTAATTATGCTAACAAGTTTCACAACTGTCAAATGTTTTGTTTTATGAATAAACATAATTGTTATTAATCTTGTTGTTTGGATCTTTAGGCGGTTCTTGATTAAGGATAGCGAAAAAATTATCAGTAGAGTCGAGATTATGTGGGTGCTTCATCGAAATGTTTTAGAGTGATGCTAAAAAAAACTTTCAATATTGTGCATGGCAGGGTAATTGGAGCTGCATTGATTGTAATTGGACTGTACTGTGTACTATGGGGAAAAGGCAAGGAAATCAAGAAGGTGGTACAGTTGGTGCCTGAAAACGACGTCCAATCTGGACAAGTCGAGATTGAAATCCCATCTTCACAGCGAGATAACCATAGTCGTGGCCGAAATGAGGCTGCAGAGGACAAAGAAGAAGAGAAAAGGGATTCTCGAGGTAGTTCTCGAGTTTTAGGAGGTCTTTACGGTTGGAAAGAACCAAGTGTGAATGAAGAAATAGTCTTCATGTATTAAATTATAAGTAGAAAGAAGGATTATAGGCTTATTAAGTTTATGTTTTGAACCATATTTTGGAAAATGAGTTTGGGCTGTGTACTTGTTAGCAAGGGCGGACCCAAGGGGGTCCGGGGGCAGGTGCCCCCAACTTTTGAGATTCCTTTTTTTTTATATTTTAAAAAAATTACGTTTGTTATCGATTGAAATTTAAATCAAAGTTAATAATTAATTTTAATAACATATTTCATGGAATCCATAACTATTTAACTTTTATCAAAATTTACTAAAAATTTGATTTTAATCTCCATCAAATATGGGCAAAATCACAATAAATTTTAATTTTTCTCTATTTCTCTCACCTTTTTAACAAAATCTTAACTCTCCATCAAATAAGGGCAAAATATTGCATTCTTAATACTATTTCGAAGTGTTCACGGTCTAATTTTTTACGTCGTTAATGGCGTACGATACAATCAATTTTAGCAAATGTTACGACTTATCAACGTAAGAGGTTCAAAATTAGTATTTCGAAAATTTCAATAACATGCTAACTTTTAAAAAATTTCGACAATCGCACGCTAATCAAATCTACAAATTGCTCGTGTCATCTCAAAACTTATTTCGAGAACTACATTATAAGCATATCGAATATCGAATAATCCAAACAAATATCGAAAATAGTTAAAAATGCATTAAACACAGGTTTTAAAGAAATGTGTTTGAACTCGCATTTTCTTTAAAAAAAATTCAATTATTTCATTAACATTTATTATTTTTACAATATAAATTTCTCAATATAATTTACATCATTTTATTAGGAAATTTTATATTGAATATGACATAAAAAAATTTCGAAATTTTACATCTGAAAATGCCATATCTTATGTAAATTTTTGGATGCAAAATTACATGGGTATGATTTTTTCGAACGTAAATTTTCGATTTTAAAATTTCTCCAAATTTCTTTACAAGTTCGATTGTACCATGTTAACTTTAAACTTCTACCACCGCCCCTGATCATAACCACCATTTGCAAACTGTAAACAAGCAACCTACTCATTACCAAAGCAAATACCAACAACCAAAACAACAAAATAACCAAGTAAACCACCAAAGCAACAATTGAACCAAACTGTAAAAGATTCTGGCCAAAATCAACCACCAAGAACCGAACGGTATCTGTGCAAAATTCGGCCTCCGCGATGATGCCCATGATCGCGCAACGCTACGGTAGTTAATCTACACGTAGACAATCTCAACCATGGACAAACATCAACCAAAATAGCATCCCAACCAAAATTAGCCACTAAGAATTGAATGGAATTTGTGCAAAATTCGACTTCCAAAGTGATGCCCATACCACTGCAGGTGGTTAATCCACACCTAAACGACCTCAACCATGGACAAACATCAACCAAAACAGCCATCAATCGATGTTCATAAAATTCAATCTCCTTTTTTTCCACTGTCAGTTCCAGTAAAAGCAAAGGCAAGCGGCAACTGATGAGAACCATGTAGCAATAGTAGCTACGCAACCCACAACGAAATTAGAACCAATCCAAGAAAGCTAAAAGGTTTTGGACTCAACCCAAAATTAATAAACCAAGCAACCAACACAATCGTTTACAATATGTTGACCTCTTGATTACACGACTTATAAATCTAACCCGAATGTTTGAACATCACAAGAAATTGATTCTTGATAACTTCGTAATTGCTTAATGAAGAACAAGGGATTTGAAAGTTAAAAGCCTTACGATTAATTCTCAATAATAATAATAATGTAGATTGTCCATTCAATGAATATAATGTCAATATTTATAGGAAAAACCTAAAACCCTTGTTGAATCTGAAATAACTTGCTAGGATTACAAAAGATTGCGATAAAAATAGAATTATAGTAAAATAAAGAAAATTCGTGAAAAGGAAATAACTTGCTAGGGTTACAAAAAATTGCGATAAAAATAGAATTCTTAATAAAATAAGGAAAATTTGTGAAAATGAAATTTTCTCCTCATGTTTGAACCATGCGAGACCGCATGGCTAAAATAACTATGTGGTCGCATAGTTATGAATTTCAACCTCCTTGTTTTCTGCATCGATCAATGTGATCCATTGGACTTCCGCCCCGAGCCCAACATGGAAATTGACGTTTGGCTTGCCCTAGTCAATGTCTTGTCCACCGTAACATGAGCCAGCAACCCTATCACTTCCTTGACCCGCTTTGCCCTTAATTGAGTCATCGATCCTCCTTTGATGATCAATGGATCCTTCCCCGGGATCATCCCCGTTGCATCCTTACATTAGATCACACCATCCCCTCCCTCTTCAAGAGGATTCATCCTCGAATCTGAACCTACATCAAAAGGA